GGTCAACAAATCGGAAAGCCCACTCTGTTACGAATAAATTTTTTTAAAATAAAATTTATATGATATCAACAATGCAAGAAGAAACGTGAACAAACGGGTAATACGTACGTATCAAGGTTAAAAGCCACGATAATAAATAGCAAGTTTTTATTTTTTAAATCGATGACCAGACAAAGGAATATAGTCTAGAATAACCCTTTGTGTCAATAGACAAGATGATATCATGATGTGATGATACATAAGACATGGCAGTTCTTATTATAAAAAAAATATTAAAATATATTTTGATTATTCATTTTTGATTTTGAATTTCTATTACAATTTTGTATTTCGCATAAAGAAATTTAGTAGCTTTGTATAATAATAAAAGTACCATAAACATCTATACAATTTCCTCTAATGAAACCCATTCTCGTATTAGCAGTAATCCAATCTCTTAGCAATCATTTATTATTAGCCCTTAAATTTCCATTTTCATCCTTAATATCTTCATATTTCATTGTATTCATTATCATTTCTACTAAATCAGCAACACGATATCTTATTTTATTATTTATTTTAGCAACAAATTGTAATCTTACCGTAAAGCTTTCTTCACTTAATAACCTTTTAATTTTTAATACTATGTCATCAACAGTTAAATTAAACTTTGAAAGTTTTAACGCCATACCAGTCAATTCTAATTTTTCAGCATTTCCAAATTGATCACCTATTATTGGAAGTATTAGCATTGGAGTTGCAGTATAAATTGATTCATGACTACTAGAAGCACCACCATGACTTAAAAACACTTTAGTGTTTTCATGAGATAATATTGCGAATTGAGGGGCAATTTTTGTGATATGAATATGAGGATAATTATTATTTAAAATATCCGATATAGGAAAATCAACATCAAATTGAGACATTAATTCAGTGACATTTGTTCTTAAGGTAGTCCATACAACACCATCAATAATATTTTGATTAATCAGTTGAAGACAAGATTTAAAATGACAGCAATGCTTTGAGGAGAAGTATATACATTAGTTCCAAGTGCAAAATACATTGTTCGAGGGTGAGTACTAAGAAATGCATCAAGAGTTGGAGTTAGATCTGGATAAGTATCAGGCAAAACAGGTCCGATTTCTATAGGAGCCGGTATCTATATGAGTGTCGCTAAAAGAAAACCCGAAAATGTAAATATGACTTATATTTAAATTTTCGGGTTTTCTTTTAGCGACACTCATTTATGTAATAAGCAATAAAAACCTTTATTAAAATAAATTAGCATAATGTTTTTTAGATTTTTATTCAAATTTGTTATTATATACTGTATATAAAACAAACACCTAATTTATAAAGGATTAATTATATAATCACCTCAAATCCAAGGAAAGTATTAACTAATAATAAAACATTATCCATTCGTGCCCATAGGTTCCAATAAGTTTCGACACCTAATTTTGCTCTTTGAGTATTTAACTGATTTCCAATTTTAATAAAAGTCCAAATAAATTGCAAAGGTTTTACAATAGCGCAATTAAATCTTTTATAAAAAGATTCATTTTCCATATTCACATGACATCCATAAGTAGGATCCGACTTATATGGTGGTGGAGTGATTGCTATTTAATGTAACAGATAAAGCAAAGCAAATTTATTTTTTAAACTAATATCTTTATATTTATAAGTCAAGTAAAATCAGTATATAATATTATATATTAATACTTACTAAGGAGTAAAGTAGAAGCGAACCCAACAACAGGCTTTTTTAATTCCCATGCAAAATCAAAACATGCAAAGTTCATACCAATATCACAAAAAAATAAATCTGCATTGATTTCCATAGCGGTTTGTTTATATATCTTATAATTTTTTGGGTAAAAGGCAGGATGAAATAGATTAGTGTATGTTCCAATAATTGATTCTTCACAGAAAACCTTTTTAATCACATCATTAATTGCAAGTTGAAATCCTGCTTCTTCACTGATAATAACTTGCGATATGAATGAGAATTTGCAGTAAAATTTCCTGGTGCTACTAATGTCACCTGAAAAAAAATAATAAAATAAATAAATAAATTAATAATTAAAAAAATTCAAGTAAAAAATAATGCACTAATTATACTATATACACGATCTACCAAGATCTTTAAAATTTCAGACATGGGAACAAGATGAAATTTGTGAAAATTAATTAATGTGATTACGATAATTGTAATAATAGCAACAGAAATAATAACTAATTTACCGCCAAAAGAAGAAGTAGCAAGTATATTCTTAGGCACATTTGTTCTATCTAATAATGGATAAATTTAGGTAGTACCTGAGATTCAAGGGTAGAATGTATGAAAAAGAAAGTAAATATGATTAAATGCCAAAGAGTAAATAATGAAAATGAATATTTTTGAAGCATTTTCTCTTAAAAACTGTGAAAAATTTTTAGCCACCGTTTCTGAGGAGAAGTTCATTTTTATAAGTCAACCATTATCGCTGTTTTCGAAATTCTGTGTCCCAATTGCGAAATCGATTTCCATTTTTAAGGGTATACCCCCTGCATTTACATAAATGACACATGAGCTGATGTGTTAGCATTAGTGTTATCATCGATCAAAGTATGTGTGATAGAATAAAGAGTTACATGAATTTGGTAATTAAGGGATGATTGAAATGAGAGTTTAAGGAAACAAGAATAAGGGATGATTGAAATGAGAATTAATGTAACGACAAAAGGATTAGAAGTGCTTGTTTCTTTCGCTGCCGATTATCATTATTTGGCTCTATCGCTTTTAGCCCCTACCCCCAATGAACTTACAACAAATAACCCTTATGCAGATATACATTACTAATTTTAAGATAAAGTCCCTGCACTGAGGCGTGAATCTTGTATTTACCCGGTTCTCAGTTACATTTTATATAAATGTTAAGTTTGAAAGATAATAGGTTGCTGCCCATAGGAGGAAGATCGTCTGATTGGCTAATGTAATCAATTGCCCGGGTAACTAATTTATACACTTTAAAGTACTTTTTGGTAGCACAATGTTTTACTAACAAAAAATCGTCACAAAACAATTCATAGCTTTAAAACAGTGCCAACACTTACTGTGCAAAAGAATCTCAAAAGAATCTTACTCCCCATGAACTTTGCTTAGAAGATAAAATATGCCGACCGTCTTAAATTATGCTAAAATAAAGATAAGTGGGAACGTTTTTGCTCAAGACTGGCCTTATTACGTTAGATTTTAAAAAAAAATTTATTACTGACTGTTGAATTTGAATAAGAATAGGTTTACTGTAAAAGAAGTTCCGGGTTTAATACTTGAATATGTTTGGTTTTCGCGTTGTGTTTGGTCCGTCAGCCGTAATAAGTTTTGGTTTATAGATTGTAGATTGTAATAATGAGTTTGGGTTTAGGCCGTTCGAAGTTAATTTTTCGGTTAACATCACCCCCCCTCCCCAGCTGAAGCCTCCCCCACCTCCCCTTCGAAAACGAACAGCCAATCAAAACGCTGGATTCATTTTTATATGTTCGTTTCATATGTTCGTTTCATTTTACCCCCTCCCCCCTCCCGAGGGTCCTGGAAAAGTGATGTTAACCGAAGAATCAACTTCAAACGGCCTTATTAATAATGAATACTTCACTTTACATGTATCTATCTATTCTCTGTACATTGAAATAAATTAATTCTTTTGTATATTTGTTTAATTTGTAACTTCTTCGTACGAAGTTTTTTTCGTTTTCTAGTATTATTAAAGCGATGAATATTTTTAAATTATGTAATTTGATTAGCTAATTATCACGGGTGATCACGGGTATATCTGTAAAAATTAGCCAATCAGACGATCTTCCTCCTATGAGGTTGCTGCACTGAAGCATGGGCACCTTGCTACTGTGGTGAATTTTACATTCACCCCGTCATAAGTTATTTGTATATATATTTTATAAGCTTGCTTGAGAAAGAGGTCACTGCACTAAAGTGTGGGTATTATATTATTGCAGTGAATTTCGTATTCACCCACTTAAGCTTATGTATTTGTATAGAAAATTTTCTTTATCTTTCTATTTTGACATCACATCATGACTATGTTTACCCACTTAAGCTTATGTATTTGTATAGAAAATTTTCTTTATCTTTCTATTTTGACATCACATCATGACTATGTTTTTTATTTCGGTTCAGCTCACTTCACCGATGCATATTTTGTAGAAATAACATTTCACCGACAACAATTCACCAACATGTTATTTCACCGACATCCATTTTCCATTTCACCGACAGGTTAATTCATCAAAACTCATTTCACCGACAAAATAATTCTGGTCATTGTCATTAGGGTCAGGCTAAAATTAAAGTTAGTGTTAGTGGAATTTATAAAAAAATTTGTCTTTTAACTAAGCTTCAGTGAAATAAATTGTCAGTGAAATAAACTTGTCGGCGAAATAATTGTCGGTGAAATAAACTTGTCGATGAATTTTTGTCAGTGAAATGTTATGCCTACGAAATGAGTATCTGTGAAGTGATACGTATCCGTTTATTCGATACTCTCTATGCTTTCGTCATGTGCCCTGCATGACTTGCAGCGAGCACACTGCTCCCATAATATTATTCTATATACTTTGCAGAAACCTTTGATTTTGCTAAATATGTTTATAATATTGCTACAATATTGCTACAATATAATTCTAATATTACAAAAGTTATCATATGATAAATATATATTAATTATAT